CTTAGTGAACCTTGTCGTTTCTGCAATACCGAAAACGACCGTGCTGTGCACACATAGTGGTGTCTTTATAAGGCACCCTTCCTCTTACCCTGTAGCGGTACATTCTCCCTCTGCACAATTTGTTTGTCGTTCGATGAAGTCCCTAGTGCGCCTGCCATTTTTTCATCACTTCCGCATTTCGCACTGTTCTCAGCAGATGTAATCTCTCTTTCTTCGTCTTCACTGTTGCCTTCCTCTTCCTCTTCGCCCTCCTCGGATCTGTCCGTGTTCTCGCCGTTGCTGTCTCCCTCCGGATTGCTCTCCTTTGCATCACTTTCGTCACCTTCTCCTCCTTCCTGCGTTCTCTCATGTTCTWCTTCTTCTGACATTTCTTCGTCGGTGTTTTCTTCTTCGCCTTCCTCCTGAGCGGTGGTTCGTAAATCGTGTGACCCTCTGAGGTTGATTGCTTCAGGAGTCCTGTCTTTTCTGTAAATTATTCTCTTCTTTGTCCTATGTTGTTGCAGTTGTGTTTTTTCATGTCGTCTGTTCTTCTCTGGCGCTCTTGGGGGCTGCCTCTCACTGTCGCCGTGTCTCTTCCACCGCATGAGACTCGCGACAGGTGTTTTGTTGTGTTCGACCAGTTTTCTTGTCTGCTTTTTCCGCGACGGGACAGAGAGCACTGCTTGTGTCCCGCGGACTGTGTTCGTCTCCTGTCTCTTCAATTAGGGAATATCCCTTATGCTATGTCTTTGCTTGACTGCCTTCTTGTCTTCCTTTGCCGCCCTCTCCCCCTTCTTTCTCCTCCCCGTGGACTTCAAGGACTTGCACAGATCCTCGTACCTTGGCTTCGGAGCCATTCTCTTCAGCCTTATGAAAAGATTCTGATATGCACGAATTCACAAACATTCACGTTAGACATGGAATGATTTTGGCACATGAAACGACCATTTGTCATCCGATGCCAGCATACGCGACATTTTCACACGCAGGGAGAGAGAGAGAGAGAGAGAGAGAGAGAGAGAGAGAGAGAGAGAGAGAGACAGAGAGAGAGAGAGAAAGAGATCGAGGGAGAGAGAGAGAGAGAGAGACGAACGTTTTTTGCCATTGTGACATGAAAGACGACACTTTTTTTCTATGATACATCACGCATTCAGCCATTAAGTAACATGCACAAGTTGGTTACCGCGTGCCGATTGGCTTCTCTACGACATATGAGTTTTGTATAATTGCACGCGGTTGTCAACTTTGTGTTTTAATGCCTGGTTTCTATAATGCCCTTGTAATTACGAACTTCCACTCCGTGTTCCGTCTATGAGATCTCTGAAGACATTTTCTATGTCACACGCTGCTCCGGTGTTATATCCTTTTGCCATTGCAGCGCACTGCGCAAAGCGCTGTACCATCGAGTGACGAAGTCTCTCGACCGTTCGTTCCGTTGGCCATGTTTGCTAGCTTTCGCATCAATTGTGCTGCCAAGCAACAAACGTAAACACCACAGTCTGGCGTATTGGTCTATTGCGAACATTCCGCATATACTATGTTAGATCCAAGTAGATCTCTGCATGTCACCCACGACGTGTCCACGGTCTCGGTAGTCAACACCCCTGCTTTGTCTGCCTCGTTGAGGTATTCATACCACAAAAATGTGCGCAATGCCTTCCATTCTTGTTGGCCGCTCTGTTGAAAGGAATCCATGACGATTGCAACAGGTCGTTTCTGGCCATCATTGTCCTCCGTGACTGCTAAAAACCGACCGACATTCAGTAGCAAGAACAATTTCCAATGGTTCTTATGATTTCACAGGGATGAGAACAACAACTATCGTTCGCAGTTCATTACTCAATCGATGCAGCTTTGCAGGTCTACTTTTGATCCGCTCTGCCATCCTGCTTTCGAAACATAAACCTTCTGATTGGCGATCACTGCGAGATGCCAAAAAGTTGTGCAAACATGAAGTGTCGTGTTGTCCTGTGCAGGGAAATGTTCTTCATAGACGGACTGTAAGTACATATCGATCACGTCGTCGTTCAGCCACTGCTGCGCACCCAATCGCAATACGTCCCGTTTCGTTATCGCTATGGCGTGTCTTCTTGATGTCCACGTGAACGGGAACAAGTGTTCCTCGTCCACCCTCTCGGACCTCTTTCCAGCCTCTGCAATCATACCTCTTGACCGATTGCCCCCTGCAATACCGAACAAAGGTTCATGCGCCATCTGAGGATATTGGACGTCATCTGTGGTCATTATCTGATACATTTCCGCATACCACGGGTCTTCCAGTATCCTCTTCCAACGCTTCACTGATCTCTCACTACTCAACGGAGCAACGACTCGTTGACACTTGGTCCACATGACTGTTCGTCATTCCTTGCTGTTTCTGAACTCTCCGTCGCTTTTGAGCCCATGATACAACCCTTGCCATCTACCCCCTCGTTCATTTTGTAAGATTCGCTCATCTGAACACCCCTCATTCTCTGTCAAACAACAGATGCCACGGCTGATGGACTGAGGTTGAAGTGTTAGTCTAAATCGGCTTCTCCACAATTCCTGAAAACGCTTATTTTTTTTCGCTCGCTGTCTTGGCACTTCTTCCAGTGTAGAGTGTCATTTCGGCGTTACCTCGACCTCAACATTTCTTGTCCACATGGCAGTCACATGGTCATGAACCACATCTTGTCAATTACACAGCCGGTTGGTTAGTATTTCGACAATATGTGTGTGTGTGTGTGTGTGTGTGTATGTGTGTGTGTGTGAGAGAGAGAGAGAGAGAGAGAGAGAGAGAGAGAGAGAGAGAGAGAGAGAGAGAGA